CTTAACAAACTGTTATCTGCAGAAGAAATGCAGTTTCAAAATAATGTTCATAAGACAACTTAAGTTACCCTGAAGTGAACACTTTTGTGACCCTGCTATAGACCAGATTCTGGAACTTAGAGAAATAAAGATAATCCCTACTACCATAAATTCTGTGTGAGTTTATGCTTAAGTATTCAATTAGAAAGGGTGAACATGAGCCTAATTAACCTAAAGTTGTCATGGCAGAGGATACTTGAGAGTTTGATGTTATCCTGCTGTCAGTCCCAAGTCAAGAACTGTACCTGGGCAGGACTCTTTGGGATCTTTTTTTAGATCTTTTAAAAAGACTGGAGTGCAAGAGAGCAGTGCTATTTTCTTTTCAGAGAGAACACACTTTCTTCTGTCAGAGTGTCACCTTGTTCCTCCTTCACATCACTTCTAATAAACTCATTGCCTGCCACTCTGATTGATAAGTTTGGAAACTTATATCTTGATTGGAAAAAACCTGCATTTGAAGGGGTTGGTCTTCACACTACCTCAGTTTTTTAGAGTGTCCCAGCCCTGTATCACTAAGAGATCCTTGCCAGCTGAAGGGCTATCAGAGACTCCCTGGAGTGCCTTCACTTCATTCTTTATACTGCTCTCTAGAGGGAAAAGACACAAGGAATGATATTTACTAGACACTCCAACAGACTTTAGACATGGTGACTGTTCAAACCTTTTGTTAGGCAGTTATGAAACCCACAAGTAGGACAATATGGGAGGTTAGAATGAGGACACATCCCACAGGAAATTCTAAAAGGAGGAATTTCAAATCAGATATTGTGATAAGGTATCTGTATGTGGGAAGACAGAGAGCAGAGACACATTGTTCTTATTTTTCAAACTGTCAAGTTACACTTGTCTGCTTTTCTCTCATGTGAAATGCTCACAAAGAAAAAGCAAAATCTTTAAACTGCCATCCAGTTCTTGGAGGAAAAAAATAGAAATACTGCATTCATTTGAAATGTAAAATAGAAAAAAAATAGTTGACAAGGAAAATAGGGAATGCTGGCATTAAATATGTGAACAGAGCTGAGTGCAATGGTGCATTTCTGTAATCCCAGTATCTTGGAAGGCTGAAGCAGGAGGATCATGAGTTCAATTCCAGCTTCAGCAAAGACGAGACGAGGTGCTAAGTAACTCAGTGAGACTCTTTCTTTAAATAAAATACAAAATAAGGCTTGGGATATGGCTCAGGGTCCAGTGACTGAATACATTTTAGAATGACTTGTTATCCAATGACAGATAACTAATCCATTCAATATTGGCTGGATGCCAAGATTCAATCACAAGATACCAGCTAGTTTCCATATGGAAACTAGTTGGTATCTTACAGATAGTGTGGTGGAGGTGTTCCTGCACCTGCTATCTGAGAGGGTCACAGTGTGGGGGATGCTGTGACAGGGCTGCACCACCAGGAAACCAGAACCATGGGGAATGTTAAGTGTTTTGTTCATGATACTCATGAGATAGATAATAGGGCATACAACAATCAATAATAAAAGTACATGTTGCCTGAGATTGCAGGAAAATTCCCAGAATTAGACTAAGGATACAAATAAGATATGTCCTGAGATGTGTTTCAGTATCTCTCAAAATACAAACAGTAGTGTTATTTCTTAAGAAATTCAAAGGGGAAAGATTGCAAATCAAGGTTCCTGAGAAAAGCTTAACAATTTACACTAAGCCCCTCATTCTAAAGCCATAACTTGTGCAACGTATATTCCCTTCACTAACAGATCCTTCTTTGCCCTACATAGGAATTCATGATGAAAATGGGAAACACATAGTTAATATTAAGAGCAAATGAGTTGAAGTGCAGAGCCTGCCCTTTAATTAAAGAATATAAAGACATAAGAATTTGTATAATTTGATGAAAGATCAAAGAAACTCTTTAAAAATCAGTTAAATAGGTCATATGAAAAAAGAAAATTACTTTGGAAAAACAGAATAATGTAAAAATTTATATAGATATATTTTAGAGTCAGTTCAGAATAGTAGGCTTTTAAGTAATAGGTTTCACTGTATAATAAGTATAATAAGAATAATATTCTTATAAGAATATTATTATAATTTTATTATAATATTATAATTATTATTTTATATATATTATGTATAATATATTATATGTAGTTATATTATAATTATATATAATCATACATAATTATTATAATATTATTATAATGTATAATAAGAATAAGTGTGTATTATTAGGGCTTTAGTTTAGAAGCAAAAAAGCTTACCAATAATCATAGGTATGCTTTAAAGTTAAAAGTTAATAATAGGTCAGGATACAGGTAGTCAAGTTGCACAGTCTAGTACTTAGTGATTGAGGTGAAAATGTAAAAGCTTAATCATGATTGGCAAAGGTTACAGGAACACATTTAAACAATGTGTTCAATGTCTTATGAAGTTAATATATGTCAGAAAAGATTGCAACTCTTGAAAATTATGTAAATCAAAGAAGTTTGGGGCTTTGATGCTATTCATTAACTACATGATTAAACACCTGTAAAAAAGGTGTAAATGTAAAGGCCCCTTTAGTGGCATCAGATCCTTCTGAAGGCTGCTTGTAACTTGCAACCTGTCATTCTGTCTCCTCTTCTTTTGCTGAAGCAACTTATACTTCAGTGCCCCATGCTACTCTTGCTTCAGAACCTCTGGATTTCTCTTAGGGCTGGTCCTTGGCAATAATAATTAAATTTTTCTTCATTTAAATTTGAAGTTGACTCTGTTGATGGGCTGTATTGAATTATAGAAAGTATATGTATAGACATAAATGCCTGTGATTTGTGCTAATATTCTCATCGTACCCCATACCAAAGAAAAAACAGACATCATAGTTCTATTATTATGCTCAAGGCAAAATTGCAAATAATTTATTTTTTAATTCCTTATACTCTAGGTTCTGGAATACTGAGAGATCTAGAGACTTGGGACCATTCACCTCTTGTTTATTGTAAATGTTAAAACTAGAAAGTTTAAAATTTTATTTGTGCTCCATTTTTTGTAGGGGAGTGGGGACATTGCTACCTCGGAGAACTACTTATGAGTTGAAGTCTCAAGCTGTTTTCTCATAAGACCACAGAACAGAAATATTAAATAAAAATTTAAAGTAATTGTGATATTTCATTTTTATATATATGCACTTCTGTCTGGGCTAGATCTACATATTTGGAGGGAACTCTGCCATGAAATAATTTTATCCTGAGGCTCTTAATGCAATTCACAGCAAAAAAAAAAAAAGATTCCAGGGCTGTGGAGCATTCCTGTAATATCAGTTACTTGAAAAGCCATCATAGGAGATGTTGAGACCCTTCCCCAGGACTCTGTCTATGTTTCTATCTATCCATCAATCCATTCTTCTGTGGTCCTGGGGCTCTGTAGTGAATAATACCCATGGGTCTGATCACCAGTATTTTTTTGTTTGTTTGTTTTGTAAGGGTCCGTTGGAGCGTGGGAGAAAGAGACCACACAAGAGACTGGCTCCATGCAATTGGCAAAAGGGGATTTATTGGGGATCCATTCTAGTGCGCTGGGACTCTGTGCTCACTCAAGGAGGGAGAGCAGCCCAGATCCCAGAGCAGAGGTCAAGCAGAGCTTAAGTACACTTTTTGGAGAGGGCGGTGGGCTTTGCATACATCAGAACAAATCATCATGAGGCGCGGGGAAATTGAACAACAACTCTGAGACGTGATTAGCACATTCATTGGTGGGAACAGGTCAGGCGGGGGTGATTGGTCACTCCTAAGCAGGTTACACATTCGAACTGATTGTTCGGGCCCTGTGACAAACTGCACAGGGCCCTAGGCTAAATGGCCAGGAGGGCGTTGTCTTAACTATCTCAGGAATCTGGGTGTAGCTGAGGAATTTAATAATACCTAATCTTTTACATTTTAATTCAAGCTTTCCAGTTTAGAAACTTTACCCTTTCAGTTTGTTTGTTTGTTTTTGTTACTGACAGTTGAACTCAGGGGCACATTACCACTGAGACCACATTCACAGTCCTATTTGTATTTTATTTAAACACAGCATCTCAGTGAGGTTCTTAGTGCCTTGCCATTGCTGAGGCTGGCATTGAACTCACTGTCCTCCTGCCTCAGACTCTCTAGTCATGGGATTACAGGCATGCACCTCTGCATGTGGTGGATCCCCAGTGTTTGATCAATAAAAACAGAGCAGCCAAAAACCTGTTTTTGTGTCCTTACTTGATTCTGATCTGGATGCAATTTTCTGTCACTCAAACAGTAGGCCTACTGAAATCAGAATTAGACAGGCAGTCAGTGTAAATAGGTAAATCCAGTCAGGTTAAATCTAGGAAGCCAATTTTGAGTGAATCTGGGAAGTTGGAGACTGTCCCCTGAGGGATAGTATCAAGAACAGGCCCCTTCTCCTGTTGCCAAGGTAACCTGTCCCAGGAATTTCCCCTCCCTACAGGGAGCTATAAGGTTGTTAATATGTCCTTGTCTACTCCATCCTGCCCTTCCCCCTTCAACCCACCTATTTCCCACCATTAGGCCATCCCACCAAGCCTTTCTGGGCCTAGGCAGTCCTCAGGAAGGATAAAGATAAGGGGGGAAAGGCAGGAAAACAAAGGAAGCCTAGGACATATAAAAAGGGCAGAACCCCTTGTTTCTTGGGATACCATGATACCAGCTATGTCCCCCTTCTCCCTCATGGGAGAAGTCTATGTTACCCTTTTCTAAATAAGCCCTGCTTCATATGCTTGCCTTAGCAAGCTTCTCCAATGTTCAGAGTTCAACATGAGGGAAACTAAGACTTGTCACCAATAACTGGCAGTATCACTACAAGGCTCAATTTTGGAGGAAGTTCCTGAAGCCATTTCCAATCTGTCTCTTGGGTGAGAACTGCCCAATCAAGACACAGCCAGTGATGAGGGGATGGGCTTCCACAGTCTTCTGTTCCATTTTTTTTTCTGGAGCCTGCTTTCATTGAATCCATTTTTATGTTTCCAGGTTTCTGTGCTACACTGGAGCTGAAAAAAAAAACTACATGGGGAACACTAAGCATCCTGAAAGCCAGGAAATGGTAAGTGTGTGTTCTTGTTTTGAGACTGGGTAGGGAGGTTGTTTGCAGCCAATGGGACTGGCAATGGTGGCTGAAAACTCCTCATAATTGTCTCCAGAGTCTGGTGGCTAGAGGGTCTCTCCATGGCAGCTTAGCCTTCAGTTTTCTCTGACTAGTCCAGTGGAGCTCATATCAGTATTTGAGACCTCAAGTATTTTTGTTCCATAACTGTATGGTGTTTCAGAGCCTTACCTGAATTCCTACGTGGGTATCTGTGTGCCATTAGCTCAGCATGTCCCCAGATTGTGTGGTGAAGACTGGGAAGAGGGCCCCAACTTCATTAGTTGTGTTCCTGCATGAGAGAAGCTGTGGCTTTTTTAGGGACCCCTGTTCTTGCTCCTCCTGAGTGTTTGTTTTTGTTGTTTATATGTTTGTTTATTTTAGACCAGGAATTATTCCCAGAGGTTTTTATCTACTGACCCACATTCTCAACCTCTTTTTGTATTTTTATGTAGAGACAGGGTCTCACTGAGTTTCTTAGAACCTCACTAAGTTGCTCAGTCTGGTTTTGAACTCACCATCCTCATGCCTCCTGAGCTTTCTAAATGTAGACTAAGAAGTATCTCAAATCCAGAATGGCTATCTGATAGTTTAGCTATTTATAAGTCTGAGATTAAATCCCAAATTTCCAGCTCTCTTCACAAAGGCAGGGTTCCCTGCTTGAAAGGGTAAAGTTTCTAAGCTGGAAGGCTTGAATTAAAATGTAAAAGATTAGGTATTATTGAGTTCCTCTGTTACACCCAGATTCCTGAGATAGTTAAGACAACACCCTACTAGCCATTTAGCCTAAGGCCCTGTGCAGTTTGTCACAGGGCCCGAACCAATCAGTTTGAATATATACCCCGCTTAGGAATGACCAATCACCCCCTGCCCGACCTGTTCCCACCAATGAATTTGCCAATCACGTCTCAGAGTTGTTGTTCAATTTCCCCGCGCCTCATGATGATTTGTTCTGATGTATGCAAAGCCCACCGCCCTCTCCAAAAAGTGTACTTAAGCTCTGCTTGACCTCTGCTCTGGGATCTGGGCTGCTCTCCCTCCTTGAGTGAGCACAGAGTCCCAGCGTGCTGGAATGGATCCCCAATAAATATCCCCTTTTGCCAATTGCATGGAGTCAGTCTCTTGGGTGGTCTCTCCCTCCGATGTTTCGCCAGACCCTTACATGCTCACCTTGATTGAGAAAAAATAAAATAAAATAAATAGTGAAATGACCAGGCAGCTGTATAATGGTCATCTTATTTAACCACATCTGGATATGTTAATGAGCACCATTAAGGCCTATTCAAATTAAAAAACCTTGAGACTCACTCTTGGAATACCTTCTACCAAATTCTTTGTCCTTGGAGTGAACCCAGTTGGAAGTCACTGGAAGGAAGATGGGATACAGAAAGGAAAAATATGAACCCAGTTGGTAATAAGAATGCCTTTTTCAGTACTCATTTTAAATAGACTTTGCCCCATGCTCTCCAAAAACCATATATAAACTTCGAAGCTGGCACAAAAATAAATAAATAAATAAATAAAATAAATGTGTTCTTCTGCTATCACGCCCTCTCCCACATTGTGGGAGTTCTCTTTCTTCTTGCTAAAATAAATCCTTTTTTTTTTACTCTTACCTTCCTTGAGTGTCCATAGATTTTATTCTTTAAAATTTGTGAAAAAGATCCCAGGTATAATTGGTTAAATGGGAAATTTAATTTCATCTCAAAACTTCAGTTTCAAAATAATTATTTTTTCTTATGTTTTGTTTTAAAGAGATGCTTATTTGTAATTTTCTTCTCCAAGAAATGGAGGGCAGTTTTAAAAGATTTTGCTTTATCCTTATGAGTCTTTCACATAAGAAAAAAGCAGGGAAAAATTAGATGACATTAAAAATAATGACTTTTTTCTAAATAAAATACTATAGTCAATGTGTCCCAGTCACCAGGGGGCAAAATTTCGACATATGCAGTCAAGGAGAGAAATAAAAAGTGTCCACATGCTTCTGCCCCTTTCAATGCTTTATTCACTCAAATTGCTCAATACAATTATACTCTATAGGTTCTTACTCAAGAAAATAACAATCCTGAATGGTACGCATTGCAATGGACATAATCTATTCACAGCAAAAAAAAAAAAATAGTTTGATTAATTTACTGCTAACAATTCTAGATTAATTTTAAACACTGCAAAACTCAGTTAATCATAACAGGCTAGTGACAAACATTCCCTTTGTGTTCTAAGTTTAAATGTCAGATCAAAAGTTTTAAGCCTTAGGCTTTTAGTCCAGCAGATGCACACTCACTCAGACCATGGTGACAAGGTCCAAAACCAAGGCAGGCTTCTCCTGGCTTGGAGTGGACAACAGGTTGAGGAGAGAACCTATGAAGAAGTTGTGGCTTTCACCAAAGTCCAGATGAAGTGGTAGAGTTTGAGAGATGAGAAAATCATGCCGAGGATCAGAAGAATAATGACAAGTGATGGGATGTCAGGTCCTCATCAGGCTCTTCAGCTTGAGTACATCCTTGTTTCTGCTGGCTAAATCCCTGCTCATTAGCTCTATTATTTATACTAAATTTGGGGGCTTTTAACCTCTCTTTCAATTCTTATTAGCTATCATGGGGATTCTCCATGAATCATTTAGCCTGGGGTTAAACACTTCTGGTCTTGTGGTCTCCACCCTGATTGTCTTGTCTTTCCCTCTTATCAGGCAAGTATAGCCTGCCAGATATTTTACTCTGTTTATCAGGTTGAGGGGAAATAACTTTTTTTTAGGCCATACTGGAGGACTCTTTGGGTGTGCCTGGTGAGACTGCAGGTTTCAAACTGGAGTTTTTTAAATGGAGCTGTTTAAGCTCAGGGCTAAGACCATCCTCACAGTCCTAATTGAAGACTTTTTTTAATGTAATTGGACCTTAATTGAGGGTCCCCCCATATATAAGATGACTTTATTAAAATGAACTGTAGAAGCATTCCAAACATTTCCAGCAAACATTTTTGTCCTAATATGGAGGAAAATAAAGATGGGACTGGACTTGTTTTAAACTACAAGAAAGTTTAATCACAAAGGCTAGAGTACATAGTGAATCTGAACATCAAAAATCATGTGAGTAACCTGGTACATTTAAAAAAAATTTTTTTTTAGTTGTCAATGGACTTTTATTTTACTTATTGGTATGTGGATCTGAGAATAGAACCCAGTGCCTCACACATGCTAGGCAAGCGCTCTGCCACTGAGCCAAAACCCCAGCCCTAACCTGGTACATTTTTAATAGACATTAACCAGTAGCCTTAATACTTTTTCAATATCTGTTTGGATTGAATTAATAATCCAGAAATCAGTGAAGCAAAGAATCAAATAATTTTATCTTCAACTGTGGTTTCAGATATCACAGTGTCTGAGTTAAGATTCCCCTTTGAAGAACTTAACTGTGTGTTGTGTTCTCATTCCAACATCCCATATTTGCCCATTCCTTAGTTTTAGAACAGTCTGACATAAGGTGTCCACAGATACCAATGTCTCTTAGTCTATTTAGAAAATATCAGTATCTGACTCTTCTCTTCTAGAGATCAGTTTGAACTATAAGTGTGTAGCATCTAAGGGGAGTAGTTGGATGCTGTGAAGCTGGAAGGAATCTTCTGATGTTCCTTTCATCTAAAAGGAAGTTTGTTTGGAGGGTGCATACCAGGAATTAAACTCAGAGGCACTCCACCACTTAGCCTCATCCCTAGCCCTATTTTACATTTTCTTTGGAAAATCAGAGTTGCTTAGTGCCTTACCATTGCTGAGGCTGCTTTGAACTCTCCATCCTCTGCCTCAAACTCCCAAGCCCCTGGGATTA